CCAAAATGGTTTTATAAGCATATAAAATAATATCATTTTTTTAAGCTTAGTTGGACTAGAAACCTAAAATTCAACGTAAATTCGAAATTTTCAATTTAGTTTGAGCAAACAATTTATCTATGCAACTTTGCAGGTGAAGCTCTTATCCAAAGCAACGAAGGGCTCATTGAAACTTTCTTTTTCGAAAGATAATTAACTCTGCATAATGTTAATTTTCAAAAGGACGACCCTTGGAGAATTTTCTGAACCGTGTTATCTCTCGAACAGGTGATGACAATTGCTCACAGAGATCTTGTGATTTTGGTGATGGAAAATTTCATTCATTTCATTTATTAATTTGAATTAGTAATATCATATCTATATATTATATATATTGTATTGAAATAAAAATCCGATAATATATCTCAAAAAGTGCCTTTTTTATTTGAATACCAAATCAACAAATTTTTCAAGAAATGCCTAAAACTTCTTCATAGTTTATGGTTTACCAGAGACGTATAATGATAGGGAAAATGTTCCTAAAATGAAGCCAAATTAAGGCAAAATATTATTTATTTGCAAAATTTGATTAACAACTCAACATCCTAAAATGCTTTTAAACAAATAAATTTCAATTCTCTACTTCCCGCGTAAATTCTCAAATAAAATTTATTTGTTTTATGTCAAACTTACTGTAATTCATTACAATTTACAAGTCTTATTGAGAGACATAAAGCCTACCGATGTATTTATTGGCATGTTCTACATACATACATATAAAAATAGTAGCGAAGTCGTTACTAATAAATTTTTATGGTTTCCCAAGGACTAAAAGCACTGCTCTTACTTTGAAATTATAATGAACCCACAAGTAAGTATAGTAAATTGTGAATGAATTGTATTAACCGATAAAATGAAGCGTAATCATATACACAATACATGAGTAAAATAAAAATATATTTTATACTTACATACATATTCATTGAATGCTTTCGTGTATATATACCGACATACAAGGCAATAGGCCACACTGATCAGCCATAAAGGAATGCAGTGAGGCGAATCGAAAACATTGGAGCATATCGAACATTGCATGTCTCGCCGTAATTACTGGCCAATGAAAAGGAAAAAATGTGAAAGAATTAGATCCGAAAAAAATCCGAAAAAGAAGGCTCGGAAAAGGTAATGACTGAAAATAAGGTCTTCGAACGAAATGTGTAGGCCAAACGAAAATAAGTTCCAAACAGACATACGCTGTCATAAACAACAAACAAATATTATTTATGTAATGAGCAGCGGCGATACAGCATGGCAACTTCGTGGAATGCAAAGCGTACGCCTAAATTTAGGCTATAAATATTGTATTGCGCTACACTCACCTGAGTGTATTGAGTATTGAATCGTAATGAGAATCTTCAACCGAATTTCGTCGACAAGCCTTCGCACTTAAAGCGGACAGCAGCGCATGTGGAAATCTCACCCGTCAGAACTTGAACACGATTTGCAATAAAAATAAAAGGGAAAAAGTTTATATTAACCTTGACCTACCATTGGAATTAAACCAAATATTATTGAAATGTCTGTGAAATGTCAGTGAAAGGCAAAAAAATGTAATGGATAAAAATAGTAGAATTAGCGATTACAAGTAAAATAGACTGTTCGTAAGTGGTAGATGAATGTACAAAATCTGCTAGATAAGAATAAACTGGATGACGCGACGACGACACATCTTTCAATAAACCAACCAAAGAAGCAGACAAACAAAATTATGCATGAAGGTTACGCATAGGCACAAGATTTGACGTGACAGAATATGTATCTATGTATATTTACTTTGTACATCAACCCTTTGGAAGATTTATTGTAAATAACTATTTACTGCTGATTTTTTTTTTTTTTGTTGCCAAAAGTTATAAATGTCGAAAAGTTGGTAAAGGAAATTTGAAAATGATTTTAAGTAAAACAAAAGCATAGCATTATTGTATTACTCGATACTTCAAAATCAAGCACCAATCATAAATACAATCAATACTTTGTTGCAAACCCTTTTGCCAACCTATTGTAAGTTTTATAATTCTAATTTCGACGAAGCCTTGGAAGCAAGAAACTGAAAGTTTTAGCAAAAGGACGAGGGTTGAATGAATCATCAGTTCTCAAAGCGGTGTGAGGGGTTTTCATCTTAGTGCATCGGAATGGAGAAAAAGTAATTAAATGCTATCTGCCTATTTTATGCCATAATTTCTATAAAAAAATTTTTATATTTACTCTTCCCGTAATTCATGAGGCAATTATATTTTTAGAAATTTGCAACTGATTCGGTCTACTTTTTCGTTAAACACATAAACTACTATCATAAAATTAATGAAAAAAAATGTCCAATAAAGCTTACAGTTTAAATTAGTATATGCTTGAGGGCAAGCTCTACAAAAAAAAAAACAGCCGTACAAACACCTTTCATGAACATGAAATGGTTTCTTAACTTTGGTCCAAAATTAGTAAGTTCTAGATGGAGAATACAGAGATATGCTTAAACCGATTACGGATTAGAACGGAGGTGTAATATGGCGTAGTCAAGCTTCTGGGTATGTTGTTACAGTTGCGAGGGTATACTCAATTCCTATACTTCTGTTCACGTCTTACACCCTGGAAACGTGAGTAACCCTTGTGCAAGATGAGGTCTCCAACCCGTGTGAAGCCTTTTTTCACGGCTTATGAGAGAGGAAGCTTCAGTGGCCCACTGAAATCTAATTGCAACATCTGTTCACCAGAGGTGCGGCTGCGGGCCAACGGTCTTGAAGCAAGCGGTTCGCTATATAAGTGTGTAAAAACTTTCTTACTTGCCTAGCGAAGTTTTGCGTTGGGTTTGGGGCCCGCCACGTAGAAACCAGCTCCAGTGAAAGATTTGGCAACGCCTCGGTGAGATACCCCCTTTCTGCTGACGACCCCCGCAAACGAATAAAGGGTCACGATTTGAGGGCATGCATCTGGAATGTCCGGTCCCTTAATTACGAAGGTGCGACTTCCCAAATAAGTGATGTCCTCGTAAGAATAAAAACTGGCATCACCGCCGTCCCAGAAGTACGATAACGGTCACATAAAGGAGCGCAAATTTGGTGTCAGATTTGTGGTGGGAGAAAGACCCCGTCGTCGAGTACTGGCATTGACCAAAATCCGCATCAAAGGGAAACTTTTCAACATTACGTTGATTTGCGTCTCGGCCACGAGTCATTCGATAATAAACGAGATTTCAGATAGGGTGATTCCTTATCTTGTGACTTTTTTGCTTTCCTGCTGGAAAAAATAAAACGAGCTACAGAGCTTAATATAGAAGGTATTTTATTCTATAAGAGTGTAGAGCTGGTGGCATACGCCACGGCCTGGTAGTGAACTGGGGCAAGACGAAATATCTCCTGTCATCACACAAACAGTCACCGCATTCGCGACTTGGCTGTCACGTCACTGTTGACAGTCATAACTTTGAAGTCGTAGATAACTTCGTCTATCTTTGGACCAGCATCAATACTAACAATAATGTCAGCATTGAAATCCAACGCAGAATCACTCTTGGCAAAAGGTGCTACTTTGGGCTGAGTAGTCAATTGAAAAGTAAAGACCTCTACCGACGAACGGGAACCAAACTCTTCTTTATGTGCGGAAGCAGGAACAATGACAACATCTGATGAGTCGGCGTTAGGAGTTTTCGAGAGAAAGGTTTCGCGTAAAATTTATGGTCCTTTGGAAGACCTCCACTCCGTTAGAAACACCAGGTGGAGAAGGACCTGGCTGTACTTGGTATTTCCAATAGGCGCCGAACAGCAACGAGAAGAAACGAATGGCGCAATGCTATTAACTCAGCTATAATTGCATAGGCGAGCAGCTTTTTGGCTATAGAGATATTACAATTGATCATTTGATAGGACGATAGATCGTTGGAATGTAACACATGGACAATTATTTTTCCAGATTTTTAAATTTGGTCCATGAATCCATCACGCAAAACCACGCAAAAGCTTTGAATATACAATTATCTACAAAATTATTAATTATTCTGAAGCACGAATGAACTATGAAGTTTTTTGAAAAGACTATATTTCATGTCAGAAATATACTTGGAGGTCTTGACATTTCACGCAAAAAGGCGATCGCATTTAGAAACCTGAATTTGGATGTTGGTCGAATCAGGACTCGTACACTGACCTTCCGAGGACACTGCGCAATGCTAACCGCTCCGTTATTGTGTTCTATAGAGCTTAATGCTAAGAATATCAGTAGCAGCAGTTATGGCTATCGGTTGTAATTGCATTGCTTTTTTTAATCATTATCATCATGCAAAAAATGGACTATCTTTTTTGACCAGTTTGTTTTTTTTTTTTTTTTGATATTAGTCCTTAAGCTTTTAAATATATAAATATATTCACAATTTATTATTAACATTAATTTATTTTTAGCCACACGTAACAAATTAAAAGCAACAGAATTTGGCAACTAAAAAATGTATTTCACATGCAACTGACTGCCATATCGCTCCGATTTCACTTGCTCGAAAGTAATATTCCACACGATGTTCCTTCTACCATAAAATACTAATAACCTTTACTTACAAAAAAAAAAACAATATCACAACTTATAAGAACTTAACTACAGGCCCTGGAAAACTTATGTTATTTCAACATATTCAAGAATAAACTAAACTAATTTATGATAAATATTTTTAAGTTAATTATTTGAAATATATTATATTATAAGTATTTTTTATGTTTAATGAATCAAAATAAAATTGAGTAAATTTACGAATTTATTTCTAAAAGAATTCGCCAATATCAAAGGCAGCACCCATAGAATACTTGGTAGAAAAATGTATATTAAATATAATATTTAGCTGCAGTATGCCTCAGAGGTGCAAACAGTTTTCTAATATTCTAGAGTATATAATAATTTTGAGATATTTTTTTACTGTCCTGTGCATTTGCACATAATCCACCACTTGCTAATAATTATTAATTTCCTTTACTTCATTACAGATTTTGTCACCTCTCTGCGCGATGTAAGCGTCAAAATACCACATGCCGCGCGTCGCGGTGAAAAAGTGATACTCAAGTGTCTCTATGACTTGGAAGGTGACAGTCTCTATTCAGTGAAATGGTACAAAGGACTACGGGAATACTACAGTTTCACGTCGAAAGAAACACCAGCCATTAAAGTATATCAAATCACGGTTGTGAGGGGGGAGGTAAGTGAGATGTGGATGAAAGAAATGGTCATATATAATTCAACTTTACTTAAATGCAATTTTACGCCCATAAAATAAATCGTAATTTTATAAACACCAAAAGAAGCCAGTTGTAAAGTCAGTTATCATTGTCGCTTGCGGGCAAAAGCGTTAATTGTCATTTGCAGAGACGATTACTGGCAAATTTCCAAGTCTAAATAATTCCCTATTCCACTTTAAGTTTCACCATTTGAACGGTAAATATAATATTATATATGCTCTTAAACAGTTGTCAGCTGACGTTGTCAAGCGGTTGAAAATATTAATTTTACTAAAAACTCATACTGCAAATAAAACAAATTACTTTTATATGTATGTCTATATATACATGGGTTTTATATAAAAGCGTAGAACTCTTGTGTTTACATTCAATTCAGTTTGCGCCTGAAAGCACTCTTCAACTTTGCGTACGCCGTCACCATTCTCATCTTGCATTACTGTCACTTAGTTTTTCAACACCATGAGCAAGATCGTGAGCTGCATACTTTGTAAAAAGTTGAATAAGTGCTGAATGAAGACTTTCAAATTGTAGGGAGTATGAAGAGAAATTATTGGGTTGTTAAATTAAAACTTTTTGTTTGAATTCATTACTTTTTATTACTATTTCAATATTTTCTCCACAGTCACTTGTTTATTGTGCACAAAAATGGGGCATAAAATTCAGCGTTGAAATTTTGAAATTAATTGCTTTTCATTGTTTCTGCTTATTGCAGACTTTAATTAATTGTTTATGGCTTAAAGTTTTAACCTTTAATTTTTAAGCCATTATATGTCAATTAGATAAAACTTTTGGTAGGGTTTCTTAACTATTTAATTTCAAGAGCAAAAATAATATTTTCAAATTTACTGTAGAACGAAAAATCAATTTTTTAAAAAATTGTTTTAATTCAGTATAATTAAATTTCATTTTCCTCTGCCGATAGCTTTGACGTCTAAAATTGTGTTTGAGAACAAATTATGTCACTCATACGCCACCTTCAACAACCATAGTCAACGATAGTATAATATAATATTATAAGTGTAGCTTAAAAATTTTATATTTATATACAAATTTGTACAACTTGCTTGTGTGTAGAATTTTATAAAGGTTTTAGAAATTAGAGTTTTAAAATTAGCTAAAAGAACAAGCAAAATTTTAGAAAGATTATAGAAATTAGAGTTTTAAAATTAGCTAAAAGAACAAGCAAATATGGGGTACTCTTAAGAACCTGTTGTTCCCGAAAAGAAAGTCACATTTTCGCACATTACGCTTCTAAAGCCAGGTATTGTATACGTTTATATGATTTATTATTTTCAGATTAATTATCGAAAAATTTCGAGTGAAAATAATTAAAGAAAAAATATATAAAATTAAGAAAATAAAAAATTAAATTTTATTTCTAAAATTCATAAGGAAATGATATCATATATTATATAAAATTTATAGACATAGAGCAAACAAAAAATTTAAAATTTGAGATTTGACATTGAATGAAATTTTACATCCGAAAGCATTTGCAAGCAACGTTATAGAAACTGTGATGGTTAAGTGATGAAGCTTCTTCTTTTTTAGTGGTGTAGGCACTTCTTACGCGATTATAGCAGACATAACAACAGCGTTATTCGACATCAGGTCCTTCTCTAACTGATCCTACCAATAGAGTGGAGGGAACCCAGCCGTATGGAGCCTAAAAGAAAGGAAGCTGCATTGGAGCCATTCCGAACACTTTTATTGAAATGCTTATTTCAGATCATAATATGTTTATTTGATTTTAGTTATATGAACTGCCTAGGTAAAACATTGAAGTTCACCTCGAACAAGGGTCATAAACTAAAAATTAATCAACTTAGAGGACTTGCGAGAGTAAGTAGATTGAAAAGAATTAAACAGTTGGTATAAGTTCCAGCGGATATATCTTAATACCAGAAGTCAAAATTATTTCTGAACAGAGTCCAACTTATCAGAATTAAACTCATAAGTATAGTTTCATATCAGTGAACCTTTTCCCTATATTAGTTTCACCAAAGTCGTGTAAAGTAATTTAGTTACTTGAGGGTCTTTAAATTCTGTTGCTTAAGCTAAATATGCATTATCTACCCGAAATGTACATCGAATAATAATAAATCCCAAAACATGTTGAATACAAATTCACGGCTAACACGTTAAGTGGACCGTTATACGATACTACAACGTGCCTTCATTATTGAATAATAGTTCAAATATAATTCAGCTTGACGGCCTCATTTCAAAAATGTCAAACTATATATGATCGGTATAGTGTTTTCACCTTTCTAACTGTGAAGTGCTTTAGTGAATAATTCCGAGATACAGAATTCGTAGGAGACGTCAAACACACCGGTCGGGCAAATGACCACGTCGATGCATTACGTGAGAGTGTGGCTGACAATCCAGGAACCTCAGCTTGGCATTGTTCCAACACCGACTTCACCTTGATGGGTTTGTCAACCACCAATATTGCCAATTTTGGCATTCTGAGGACCCATATGGAATTGTCGGAAACAAATGCGTGTGACTGTTTTGCATAATTAAATTTTTTTTTTTTTTTTGAAAATAAGTTAGTAAAGTAAATATACTGGTGCTCGATATCGAGACATGACAACTCAGATCCTTTGCTGAAATTTGATGATAGTGGTGTGGCCAATATGTGGTTGCAACAGGATTTTACCTCATATTCGTATATTCAATAATTTGGTAATCAGAATTGGCCCCCATATCGTGTGATTTAACACCAGTAGATTTTTCTTTATGGGGTTATTTAAAATCACAGGTCACAATCAGCCCACAACCAAGCGTGCTTTAAAGTAGAAGATTCAACTTTGCACCAATGAAATTCAGCCATATTTATGCAAAATAGTCATGGAAAATTTCGACCAAGGAGTGCGGGAAGCCGTGGAGATCAATTTTCGATGTGCTCGTGAATAATCCTATCCTATATAATGTTGTTAATACTGATAATTGAATGATAAAGATAATTCGTACCTTCAAATTGTAGGAATTGATCAGCAATGATTTGCACCTAAAACTCTTAAGTAAGCATTTTCATATTGCAAAAAAGACTGGAACTATTTAATTTTGAAATTCATGCAAGCATTTGCCGCCATTCACTTGTCAATCCTCTCATGAGCAGAGTTTCATTGCAAATAAACCTGGAATTATTCAAGCTTTAAAATGTTTTCGAAGGTTTTATTTTCAAATTTTCTCTTTTGGTTGTCAGTTGTCGGTTTAGTTTCGGAACTCTTCTAGCATAAAAACTTCACTTTCACGTGTTACTCGTTTTCTGTATTGTGTTTATTACACCTGTGCTGTATGTTAGGTGTTGGAGTACGAGGTATTTGTTTCAATGTAGCTGAAAATGAGCACACATGTATAGCACATACATAAATAAGCAGGCGGATTGTTTTTAATTTCCCAGCAGCATATGCCTCAGCAAATTAAATATACTAACATGGTAACGCACAAGCATTTTGCATCTGCCCTTTTTGCAAAGTGTCAAAGGCTTTATTGAAGAACCTTTGTTTGTAGTTGGTGTTTTTTTTTTCTTTATTTTTTTTATACTTTCAGTTGTTGCCAACTTTGGATTGTTTTTAATATTTTTTTTTTGCTTTTTCCTTTTCAGTGTGAAATTCTAACATTTTCCCACCTTTTTCATTAGCTTTCATTTATATGTGTGTGTTTTTGTGCCAAATGCCAGTGCACATGCCAATTATAGTTTTTTCACTCCGCCAGGTTATTACTTCCAGTTTGTGCCGCCTTCACACTTTTTAATCATTCGCGCATATATACATATCTCAAGTTTTTCCATATGTCTCTTGGTGCTTACAATTTGCATTTTAGAGTTTTTTTTTCAATTCAGTATACGTACTAAGCAAGTTTTCAACTTAGTAAATTTCGCTCACTGAAAGAGTTATTCGCAATGAAATCGAAATAAGCGCACAAACAACTATGATTAATAACTAATGATGAATAATACATTAACAGATTACATGACTGATATTGGCGTAGTGGTAGAGTAATCGCCTATTAAGTCAGGATCCGTTAGTTCGATCCGGGCCAAAAGAAGTCTAATGAGGAGATGTGGTGATATCCGAAATAACCGTTACTTATCAAATTCATATAAACAAATTGACTTTTCGCTCACTTAAACTTATAATAGAAAACAAATAAAGTTTTACATTTGTTGTTTACCTACCACTGATGCAACTTATGTCCTATTTTTGGCATTGTGTTTAGGATAAGGGAAAGAAAGTGTTAAATAACACACCTGAATCTATTCATGTTGCCCGATGAGGGTCATGAAGTTTGGGTGGGGAAAAAATTAGAGATGGTGAGGGATGATCATACCTCTTTTAATCTGGTAAATGTGTTGAAATAGGAGGTTGGGCACATGACGATTCCATTGTTACGACGGGAATTTATTCGAGCGCTGTGGGTTACACCAATTAGCCATTCCTGATGCTGTTAAGAGTCTAGGAAATCAAATATCCAAGCTTTCGAGCGCCTTTCCAAGTCTATTGCCTGTCCGCCTGAAATATGTACTTTTCCATATAAACATGCTTGAGTATACATACATACTTACATGTATATATACCGCAGTACATCTAATGGTAGGAAGCAAAACAACCTAATGTATAAAATTATGAGAGGAATGAAAAGCGTAACTTATTCAAGCACAAGCCAACTAATATTAAAGAATAGATCATTTCTGAGGAGCGATCTCCTGTAGACTTAGTTTAAAGATATTGGTGTCATAGCTGTTGGGTACACACGTCAACTTTTGCGGATGATGCTGCTATAATCAGTCGGCAAAAATGTTCCATTACAACCTCATATAAAAACAACTTCAAAAATATGTTTAAAAGCATGCTCTGCTGTGAAGCTCAACAATGTACCTATCCTTCAAGCTAATGAAATTATATATCAAACTTATGTACAATACTTTGAAAGACTATTAACTTAGATG